AAAATTACTGTTTTTCTTGATGGACCGTAAATTGTGAAATGGTTGCTGATAAATTTTCACTTAGCTATCTGTCGGTGTTTAGATGAAAAGGTTAAGTAATGTCTAATACCTGCCAAAGACCTCTCCATTGTACTTTATAACTTGTTAAAAAATTATTCTATAAAAAAATTATTAATCATAACAAACGAAAATTATCAACCATGAGTTTTTGGTTGGCATAATTAATTAAAATATTCCTTTACCAAACAGCATACTGCATATTCTGTAAACACCACCAACCCACCACTGAACACTTCCTGAGCAAAAATAGTACACTCAAGCAGTAAAAATTACCTCATTATTTTGCAAGTTCTCCCTCACTTTAATCATTGAGTGCTGTTTTTAACCTCCATTCCCCCTCTCCAAACTGCATGCATGTCAATAACCCTACATACGCCACAGCCTTTACCAAAAGAGATTGTCTGTATTTTGTGTTTTTTTTTTTTAGTATACAGTAAACTTACTTTAGAACTACTGTATTATAATTTTGAAAATTGGGGTTTGAATTATACTCCAGTTATTCTGTGGACGTGTTACGCTTCACCCTCTATACAAACAGTGCACACTTATACAACACTTATACAACTCCCGCCTCAATAACATTTTCATTTTCTCCTCTAAAAAGATGTTTTTGGTATACAATCTTGCCAAATAAGGAAAAATAATATCTTTATTATTCTCTAGCCCTCTTCTAAAGATCTATCAAAATTAAGTCCACTAAATTTAAAGTTACAGTATACACAATTGCTGCTAGATTTTTGTTTTTATTTTAACTGCTCTGTTTTCTAATACTTGTAATTTATTGCTTAAATAATTAAAGATCAAGGATTTTTACTTTTTTTTTTTTTTTTTGGTTTAGATTATATTTTGTTACACCAGTTTGCACAAATTGAAATAATAATTTTAAATTACCTTTCATAAATCATTTATTTTTGTCCAGTTACAATAATGTTTTTATATTATTCATAGAAGAATTAAAATAATCTCTTTCCTGTGTTTAGGCCAAATAAAAAAAATTACTGGTTTCTCATTCCCTCACACATCCATTTGCTCTGCCTCACCAATTTCTTTTTCTTTATTTCCATACGAAACGTACAAAAATCTGGCTAACTCGCATCAGCAAAATTCCTCTCTCTATCATTCGTGGTTGGGGATAGGAAAGGAAAGTGTCCTCATTCTCCTTTTTCAAAATATTAGGATGAGAAACTTTTTTTTTTTTTTACTTGCCATTAAGTGTTCTTGTCTTTTATCTACTCTCAGTGCATAAACCTCATAAATAGCATTTGCTTGATTCTCGCGTAGATCAGAATCATAAAGATTTCAATTTACCTGTCACACTAAATGATTTTTGTGGTTAGAATAAACAGGTTCTTTTTATTACACATATGAATGCAATAAGTATGTTTATTCTTTCTGCAAATATTCTCTACCCATTAATATGATTACTTGAGACAGATAAGCGCATTTTAATGTGTAGACTAGATTTAAGCAGGAGAACCAGATAGATATTTGATGTAAAAACAACACTTTTCACATCACATGCTTTTACAAAGTCCTCATTATTAAAAAAGAATATTTTCAAAAATAATATCAATAAACTTAATTTGTTATTGTAAATAATTCTCATGAAAAAAATCCATAACCATAAAAGATACAGGTACATAAATGAGGTAAAATAAAATATCATGTCTTTGTATTTTATATGCCATTAAATTGATTGATTGATTGATTGATTAATTGACTGACTGATGGACAGGTGTAGTTTACAGACAGACATAAGTGGACAGATTGGCAGGCAGGAACACAGATTTTGTATATGATTTATTTGGTAATAATAATAATATAATAATGACAAAAGATATTATATCTTAATTACACTTATCATTTGGAATAGGCTGTAAACTTTATTGGCTCTGTGGAACTTAAATAACATAGTACACATCTCCCTCCAATGAAAGACCCTCCAATTAAGGACTACCTCCAATTAAAGACCACTTTAATTTTGTAGTCCTAAAATTAACAGATTTCTTTTATCTTTTATTATTCTAATTAGAGACCAAAGCTGCTAAAGACCATGAAAACCCCGGTCCAGAAAGCTGTCTTTAAGACCAGTATTTGAGACCACTTAATAGTTATGTTGGCTCAGGACAGCCTCGGGCCACTTTTTTTAAAAGTGTGAACAATCAATAAATTTTAAGGCAACCCAAAGGCAACCTAAATTTAGTCCAACTATAAAGTCAGCTCTGGTACTGCAATACGAGACCTGGGCAGACTCATCTTCATCTAAACCTGGGTTGCAATTTTGACATCTTATACAGTATCATAACATTTTACAGTACGTGGTCACCTGGTACAAAGGAAGAAGCCTAAAAAACGGTACTGTACCTACTTACAGTATATGTGTAAATCTGCAACTGAAACATAAAATTTGAAGTTTGTCCAACCTAAAACTGGGTAAGATTTTTCTTACAGTATAGATTAAAAAATAGAATTGCCCCGTCATCCAATCTGCCCAGAATGAAGGTCAGGTGTTCAATGTGGACAGGAAAATTTCAGTGTGTTTCGCAAAAGAGAAAGTATGGTTTAATTTGATTTGATTCTTTGAATTGAATTGCTGCACAAAAATGACTTTTGATGAAACATATAAAACACAGAAGTAAAAAACAAGTTACTAATGCCAAGGACTCTGAGAAAGCAAACTTATTCACTCCTTTGTTACCCATACATTAATTCACGTATTTCTCCTACGAGGGTGACGAGTAGATTTCCTGTACAATTAAAAATCGTAACGATAGGCCTACTGGGTTAGGTCTACAGGAGTTTGTGCTTCGAACAAGTTATTCCATTCATTGAAGCCTTTTGATGGACAAAGTGTACCTTTTTAGCAAGGGTTGCCTACAGTAGGCCTACTGTATGTTGATCCGGTTATATAAAATTTATACAAGATTGAATTGTTAATCTTATTACTATGTAAGGAATACTATGTCTCGTGCTTTTAAGAGATTAAAAGCAATTTTATTTACAAATTTAATTTATATAAAATTCAAAGCCATAAGTACCGTTTAAGTCTTATAAATTGAATTATAGTACAGTATAGTATAAATTTCTGTATAATATTAAAATGAAGTAATGTGTATAATCATTGAACATTTAATGTACAAGAAGTAACAAGAAGAAGAATCAAAGAGATCCGAAGCGGCTTTGAATTGTAAGGAAAATTATAAATAATGGTAATAGTATGGTAAACTAAACATAAATCAGTCATAATATGTTTATAATCAATTACAATAATTTATATTTATGGAGAAACATTATAAGGAATTTAGTAATCAATCTGAAAGGAATTGAAAAGAAATATAATCAAGGTTTATATAAATTAACACCCCGGGGTATTTATTGTTAAGTTTATTTTTTTGGTGTAAATAAGAATCTGTATAGCATTTATTTAAATAAATGCCACATAATTCCACTGTATACATAGAACTACAACACATCAACTACCCTCAAAATGTGTTATTGCGTGAAATTATTGATCCTGGAAAGGTTTAATAGAAAACATGTAATTCTACCGGAGTACAACATTAAGATTTGTTTACATTCTTTTATTGGGGGAGTCTATTAGAGGAAAAAAGAAACGTCTCAGAGTGTTTGTACATGGGAGATGTTCTAAATTAGGCTCTAGAGGGGGCCTTTATCCGAGGGGGAAGTTTATTCAAAGCGGGGCATTTTAAAAAATAAATACGGTATAATTCTTTGTGTGGAGAGATAGTGATATAGATGCACGCATTAAAATGTAATGTAATGTTTAAGCCCCAAAACTGAGACTTGGAATTTTCCGTATTGGTGTCCAACGAACGGGGGAAAGTTTTACCATAAATAAAATTTTGTAAACATAAAGTAAATATTACATTTAAGTTAAATGGTACGAAGAAAATAACAAATAGACCCTATGAGATGGCCAAATATCATTTTTCAAATGATGGCTTAATAAAGTATTATTATAAATAATTACTGTAAGGGGTCCTGTGCAGGCCAAAAAAAAGTGATTTCTATCTACTAGAGCGTAATGTTATTGCTTAGGAAAATTTTAAGTGCCCAGGCATATAGTACCTGGGGAGGGGTATAAGCTTGTTTCGGGGCTTAAACCTCCAACTATAGATATGCCGCAGAACAGGCAGGAGGCTACTCGTACCCTTGAATAATTTAGTCAAAATTTAAAACTATTTATATTACGAACACCCGTCAGGTAGAGAAAGACATCACTCCTATTTTTGAAATTTCCAGGATTTAATTGATCATAGAACTTAAATCATGTGCGATATGGTATCTTCATCAACCACAATTACAAGATCTTTATTGAATGTGACCTACATTCTCGGAAATAATTGCCAGATAAATTTGCAAAATTCTAAATGCACTCAGAAAGCAATATAGTAATAATACAGTAGTTCAGCTCACATTTGTTAATAATTATCAATTATCTTGTCTTGTTAAATGAAAGTTTCTTTGAATATCACAACCCATTTTGCCTATACCTGCTGTGGTTTATTAAATGTTTATTCGCTTTCTTGGTATAATCAAGTACTTAAGCGACTTTCAGACAAAGCATGTTACTGCAATACAGTACTGCGGGAATCTTTCCATTTCATTTCATTTCTTTAGGCACAAGAGCAAGGATATGACAATAAGTAAACTTAATCACTATCCTAAGTGGCATATCGATTAAACAACAGGGGTACTGGGTTCTTTGAAGTGTACACAAGCCAAATGCTACAGTTTAAAGTCCTTATTCGAGAAGACTTGTTCCACCACCGGAACCATTGGCTAGTGAGCCGTTTGAACCAGCGCCGATATTAGAGCTGAAGGTTACGGTGCCCCTGACTTAACTGCTCGACCAATCAAGCAGTGAAATAAAAAATAAAACAAACATTAGAATTAATATTCGTCAAAAGTCGTCTTACCTCGCTGGAAATTCTTCAAAATTTTTTTCGTTTTTATGTCTATATGGGATGTCAATGAAATTGGTAAACAACACAACCACATATAGCACATCACCAGAGAGTAGTGACCAGGCTTTACCATTCTGCACATGATTGTCCTCGCTTTGCGTCTTCTGTTCGTTGTCCACTTTTTCTTTTCTTTACCTGCCAGATGTAAAGAAAGATAATCATTAATGGTTGGAGTATAGCACAGGTGGGCTAGAAAACACCTTGTTTTTTACGGCCCATCCCCGATTACCTATAAAATGTAATATTAAAACTGAGCGTAGCATGTGATGCAACGAACGTGTCGGACTTCTGATCGTGAGATCGGGATACTACCCAGGGAACTGAGAAAGTTACAAAAAATGTGCTGGTCACCAACTAAGCCTCTAGTGACCAGGGAAACTGATGCCAGTGCTTTTGTATAATTCTCCGGAATGTTAAAGGCACCATGAAATTCAGAAAAAAGAAAAAAAAAAAAAAGCAGTGTAAGAAGGTTTTCCAGAAGTGCACTGGAAACATCAAAGTTTGAGTGCAGCCTCGGTCTTAAATAAAAAAGTTCACTGTTGCCACCAAACCCAATTTTATACCCACCCCTGGAGTATGGTCATCCAAGAATGGCTCACACTCCCGACAAGTAGTTTAGGAACCTGAATCTGAGTCAAGTTTGCATAAGAAAAAGAATCGTAAAGTGTGTAACTACAGTACCTATAATAAACAGTAGGCCAAGGCCTAAATTCTACCAAGTTTGTGTGGTAATCAGTCAGTCTTATTTTCAAAATGATGGATTTTCTAAGTTTTTGCATGGCGATATATGCACAAGCCTTATTTTACAGTCTGGAATCTAGCCATTGCGTTTGAAACACCCACACTGTACAGTAATTTATGCTAAAGATAACCCAAAAACCTAATCCTATTTGCACGGAAAATCTTTTTTTTTTTAAATTATAAAAGAAATGGGAAAAAAGGAAATTATATTAAAATTTAAGTGAGAGTGCCATTTCCAATCATCTAGAAGTGCTATAATAATAAATTTTCTTACCTCAGCCCTAACCATAGTGGGGCTGAGGTGGTCTTCACCCTCCCTGGCTTCTCTGTTTCGAATTCCCTGACCCGCAACTTCAGTTGTTAAATTATGTTCCAACGATTTTCTTAATTAGTTTAGGACAGCTACTGAGATCGAATATGTTCTTCTTACAATAGTTACGAATCTGATTATCATTAGTATTTATTACTAGCCTAGGCCTTAGGAGTAGGGGGTAAAAGAAGTAATTATTACGATGAATTTTCTGAGAACCTAAAGGAATTCCCTTACCACATCGATGGGCCCGGTAATTAATCTTCTACTGGTGCCCATTCACACCTACCTACGCCACTGACTATTGTACTGCTTGGTTGTATGTTGAATGAAAGATAGGACATCATAGGACCTAATTTTCAGCAAAATTGGCCCTTATTTTCCGAAATGCACAGACAAAATTCTAGGCCTAATTTTTGCGCAGGAGATACATTCCCTGTGCACACCTTATTTTACAGTCTGGTAAAAGATTTACAATTAGCCTAAACAAAGGTCCATATAAATTTATGACTACAGAATTACTATAGGCAAATACTAACTATTACTGTCTGTATTCAGTAAAGATTATTGTAATACATTGGCGTAGCAAGTCGTGGGGCAGGGAGGGGGAAGGAAATGTGTTGTGGCGGGACATAAATTTCAGTTAAAAGTATTCAGTAACCTAAAAACTTTATGAATATTATGTCAGTATCATTATTATATCATTAATATCACACACTCATCCAGGGCCCTGACCAACCATGAACGTACTACTGCGGACCTAGTCGTCAAGGATCACTTCCTTTGAATAGGTACTACAAGCCATTTTGTCACTAACCATGCTTGCCTTGCATGCAGTACTCCAGCATGCATCATAGTCTATGCCTACGCCTAGACAACTACGACAAACGTTCTCCTATTAAACAAGTTCATAAAACATATTATACATACACGAATCAAATTATTTTATCCTGCTTCATTTCCACAATTGTGGTAACATCATGGAAAATATACAGTTCTTATAAAATGGTGTTTAAACAACAATATCTATCCGTACAAACCCCGCCGAACCAAGTAGCCAGGCCGGCATGATACGAGCTTTGTTTATGTTATTATCTAAGTAAAAAATGTATTGGATCTGCGGTATCCTGGCACGATCAGTGTTTGTAATCGATGCCAATCATATCTCTACAAACAGCAGCGACGGTAGATGAATAGGTAGGCCTAGGTTTAGCTTATTAGTTTTACAGTATTTAATTTAAACACACTAAATGTTTAAGTTGTCAAATCAATTACCATGTGTTTCTAAATCTGGCATTTAGACCGATTATGTGTAGGGTTTTATGAGTTAATCTCGTCCTCATAATTTGAGCATTTGATCGGCTTCGCCATTATTGATCACTCATGTGCAAACGACATGATTCTAAGTCAGTGTTTCACATAATGATTGCTCTAGAAGATATGACATAATTCTCAAATAAAAAATTAGTAATTTCTTTTAATGATAAACCATTTTCAAATTGATTTCCTTTTGTATATGTCATATCGCTTATAATAACCATATCAGATTGCAGTCTTGGGCCTATTGTACAGTAGGCCAAGTTAAATGAAAAAAGATGAAAATATAGAAACTTTTAATGAAAGGTGTTTTTAAAATTTTAAATGGAAAAGAAAGGGATTATTATTATTATTATTATTATTATTATTATTATTATTATTATTATTATTATTATTATTATTATTATCATCATCATCATTATCATTATCATTATCATTATTATTATTATTATTATTATTATTATTATTATTATTATTATTATTATTATCATCATCATTATTATTACCGTCCTACTACATTGATACTAAAAAGAACTTAATACACAAAATATCGGCTTTCATATAGAATTCTAATGTCTGTGTAGTCACAGCATTTCATGTTTTTTTTTCTTTTTTTTTTTGGCATTGAAACCACTAAACTATACATTTTCACATCTTGGTCTTTGGTGTCTTTGGTTTTTAATAATAAAAGACTAGCACTAAATGTAGTCTTCATATTTCTGTATTAAAGAATGAAGCGGAGTTGGATTTGTCGCCCACAGTCGCACACGACGCAGTGAGTCCGTCTAAGTTTTGAACCATGATGAAGAGCCTAATTTATTTTAACAAATATTTCATCATTTTTATAAAGATTCATGAAATATTAAAGTGTGGTGTTATTATGTGCGATACCCATTCATTTACATGTCCATACGTTTTTTAAATTGTATTCATAACTTTTTAATTTTTCCTCCTTCTTCTCCTTCTTCCTTTTTTATTTTTCTGTTTCCAGCTCCCCTCTTCTCATTTTTCTTCTTATTTACCTATTTTACTTCATTTCCTTCTCTATATTTTCTTCGTCTTCTTTATTATATATATATATCTTATTTTTAAATATTTGTTATATATTTTTATTTTTTCTGCTTTTACACTACTTTCGCCTTATATTTTTGTTTACTTGGACCTAGCACTTTGAGACCTTGTTATTTGTGCTTATTATTAGTAATTTTATTATTATTATTATTATTATTATTATTATTAGTATTATTATTCTTATATTATTATTATTATTATTATTATTATTATTAATAATGTATTAATTCTTGCGGTGCTCCACTTTGATAATTCTGAAAAGAACTGTTTCTCGAGAATGTCTCGACGTTTCGATTGAGTTGATTATTATTATTATTATTATTATTATTATTATTATTATTATTATTAGGACTATTATTATTATTACTTATTATTTATATTATAGGCCTATTATATTATTATTATTATTATTATTATTATTATTATTATTTTATTTATATATTTGACAGACCAACATTGATTCAATGCCACTAACAGACTGGCATACAATGCTTAACTGCGAATAACTCAAGCATCACCTTCTTTTGAACTCATTTAATGTCTCTTTTAAATATTACTTTGAATTAAATACTAGAAAAGAGAACAACCCCTCCCCACCTCCAAAAAAAAACCTTCTTGTTCTTCTTCTTTGTCTTCTTTATTATATTTCCCTACTTCTTCTTTATCACCATCTGGTTATTCTTCTTCGTCTCCTTTTGTTGGTACAACTTTTATCCTTTTTGCTGTGTTTTCTTCTTTTTCGTGCGATTACACGTAGGCGCCTATGTAAAAAGGGAGTTTCCTCTAGCTTACGAACGATAACGAATACGGTTTCGTCATCACATTTTTAGACAATTCTTCACTTGCAGTAGGCCTGTCATATATGGCACAACGTAGGCGATTCATGTCTTTGCATAAATGAGGGATCATATTCAGCTCGTACGGCATAATTTTCAAGAATGTTTGAGGCACGAATGACTGATAATGACGTATTCGTATTCGTTATCATTTTCGCAAGGTTGCGAAATCCCCTTATTATAACGCTAACTGAATTAAACTTTACTAGAACAAACATATTATTTGAATAGACCAAATCCATTACCGTTTCGATTTTAATTGTGTGGGAAATTTACTTATGATGGGAAACGATAACAAATACGGTACGTCATTATCATTGCGAAACGATAACGAATAGGTCATTATCAATATATTGAAGTAACGTTAAGAAAGCTCTCTATTGGTGCTTAAAAACAGCCAAGTCCTACAAGTCATATAGTACCTTTTAATAGGCATGCAAGGGTAACTTGGTCTCAACGTGAACTTACGGGAAGGCTATATGGGTTTCTTTCTTTGCTGATGCTACATTTAAATGTTGCTTATAATTCCTCTCTTAAATAAATCACAGTTAGTCAAAGCTTAACACGTTGACATATTTGCTTTCACTTTCATCATATGAAGTAAAGATTCATTATTTTTATTTTTTTAAATGAATTATTCCACCCATGCAGTATACTGTACATTATTATACAAGTATAATACGCTTCGATTTCACACACAAAAAAGTCCCACGTATAACTTTAAATATATGTATATCATGTATTCTTCTATTAATCAGATTGTAAGAGAAATTCATTTCGATCCACATCATTAAAACGAATAATTTTTATCGTGTGAGAAGCATTCCCTGAAGTGAAAGCAAGTGTGTACGTAATTAACACTGTTTAATAACTTAGACGAATCATAAATTTACCATCTTTCGACATATTTGTTCTTTTTTTTCCTAATGAATGAACGAAACAGTTTGAAATTCCATCCGATTCGTAATCGTTGATTAACGAGCATGCGCATGGTGATTAAATAAGAACTGTATCGGATAGATTTTAAAATGACATTTTGCAATACACCTGCGTACATGAGGCGAGTCTACTTTGACTTATTTCTGCAAATACGAATTCAAATCTCTCTCCTACCCGGTAAAAGCGAAAGGCTGATTAATGGCGTTCTAGTTTGTAACGCTGATCAGCTTTTGTGGCCATTAATTGTTCTTATTGCATAATATGTATATAGGCCTATGGGATTTTATGTCGCTGTCGATAAGAAAGAAAATCAAATAAAGAAAGAAACAAAGAAATGACGGAGGAGAGAAACGTCCATCATCCACAGAAGTTGTATTTTGAACTTCCATATTATATCAATTATACTACTGTACTGTAATTATTATTATTATTATTATTATTATTATTATTATTATTATTATTATTATTATTATTATTACTTGTTAGTGTTAAATCATTCTTCTGCTTCTTCTTCCTCTTCATCTTGTTCTTTTATTAGATTCTTAGAAGAAGCCTTTTTATGGAGAAAGTGTACCTTTTTGGCAAGGCCTGTCTAGGTCGAAAATAACTGCGGCTATATAAAATTGATTACAAGATTGAAAATGTTATTCTTGTTAATGAATAGATAAGGATTAATATGTCCATTCTCTATTGATCTAATCTACGTAAATTTACCTTCCGAGTTTATATTTAATTAATAAAATTGTTTAGGTATTTATTTGAAAAAAATATATTATATGAAATAATATAATTTATAAATAATATATATAATAATATTTAATAATATTTAAATAAAACAGTAAGTAAATAATGTTACAATTATATCATAGTAGCATATAATATAAATCAAGATAGCCGTTAACACTGTTAAATTATATATAAATCATCAAAGAAAGGTAAATGATGTGCATTTTATTACACATTTTTTTAAATTTATTTATAGGACAACATTCGTTAAGAGCTATGCTAAACGCTGTACCATCAGTACGACCATTACCATGCATCAACTCTGATTTATCTAATAAAGGTTATTGCATTTTATATTTACGCAAACTTATATCAAAGATATAGCATGAATGTATATTACACTTAAAATAATATACAATTCATATGATAACGTAACATAATTGTAAATAGGTCTAGTTGTTTCGTATGTGAATGAGCGCGTCAGACTCTGGAAATATTGTAATTATAAAGCCGATGTAACTAGTTACTGTCCTACATTCTGAAATGAAATCTATCAGCGTGTTCATCAAAAATAGAATAAATCGCTGTATGTATTTTATAACCAACAAATATTTGTCCGGGTACCCCATCGATTTTAACGCCGTATTAAATTGACTTACCACACGTACAACTTTACCCGGTCTTTATTCGTTCTTAAATGATCTGTTTTACTAGCTGTAAGCGATATATACACCAGTTAAAACCGGATAGAATTACATAACAATTTTTCCTCGTAATTCCATTTTAACCTTCAGCACGGTAGTATTTCATTACATATTTATCATCGTTTTAGCGTCATTTTTTTAATTGCTATATTTTATTTCACGAGTTCTCATGAAGAAGACATGACATGCCTTCTAATGTATATGAAATTACGTATACGCATGAATATTTTCCTCTTCATATTCATAGTTTACGTTCCAATAACTTCTCACAATTATAAACGATAAATCTATTTTTTAGAAGTTTATAGGTCTACAATTCATTATTTTTTAATTGGGTTTATAGTTTCGTTTCGTTTATTTATTCGATCAGTAATGCAAAATGAAAAAATAAAAAATAAAAATAAATTAAATACAGAAAATGATCTGGGGCAGCTTAAACGAATTAATTTGTATAACTCACAGTCAACTGCCCCCTAAA